GGGAAGCTGACAAGCAGGGCATGAAGGTAATAGCTCCCTCCAAAACACAGGAAGGACTGTATCCCAGTGGTAGAGCATCCCATTTTCATGCCCAGGTGCTTGTTTAATTTTAGCTAGTCACAGATGCTAGAGGGCTGAAGCTGCAACACTAAAAGCCCAGTTTCTTGTACAAGCTAAGCACATCTTTGGGGCATGTAGAATTCTCATCAGTGCCCCTGCTGATGAGTACAGTTGCCAGGCAGGGATATATGGGGCAAGGTTTTCCCTTAGGTAACCATCAAAAGTTTCCTCTTTGACTCAAGGCTTGTAGCTCTGGGATAGCTCAGTTGGTAGAGCATGAGACTCAGGGTTGTGGGTGAATGATTCCTGCATTGCAGGGGGTGGGACTAGATGACCCTTGTGGTCCCTTCCAACTCTACAATTCTATGACTTATTTAATACACCCAAATTCACTTTGGTCTGTATTACGTCTTTTAGGTAGTGATTATGGAAATCATCCTGCTTGTTTTATGGAGTTATGAATGTACTTAATCATGTTGATTTCTTAGATTTTGCATTTTAATATTCCATGCTGTGAACTACTCTGAAATAATAATAATAATAATAATAATAATAATAATAATAATAATTGGTGACAGTAATAATGTTGTGCTCTCATCCTTACTCTTCCAACTTGCACCATGAGTTAAGGTGCAAGTAGAGTGCTTACTAGGGGTTGAAGAAGTCTTTCTTCATTGGAGGTACAAAAGCATCTGATGGCGCTGAAGGAAGAAAGGGGGATATCCTAGCTCCAATCCTTCCATTTCTTCAAGAGCTGGTGAAATGACAAATTGGTCAGTGGGATATACCCCTTTCATGCTGTAGAACAGCACATCAAATAGAGCATGGAGTTACAAAAATAGCACTCTAATGGAAGCAAAGGCTGGTGACTGGTGTTACCAAGGGATGGGCACCATCAATCTGTTTCTGAAAGGGCAGAGATGATGTATCATTAATCTGCTCCAGCACTATAAATAGCATGAAAAAGAAGACCTGGAGGGACAGAATAATGGTTAAACAAGTCTGGCTTGGATCCAGATTAAGGTGGACATTTCAGCAGCACCTAAAAAGAGGACAAAAGGGGACACAGATTTGCAAAAAGGAAACAAACACGACCTACATATGCTAATATAGAAAATCAAATTCAGTTTGCTGTAATTTAAACAGTGGGGAGGATTGGGGTCAGGTGCCTTGTACACCTGTTCAGTCTGCTGTCCAGTTCCTGGTGATGGGCCTCTTCAAGGGATCTCTCTTCTCACTGTAGGGTTCTTTAGCATTAAACTGGAGTTGGACAAAGCAACTCTTCAAGCAGACAGCTCTATCAAACAGAGGACTGTCTTCTAACAGCTTTTCAAACTGTCCTCTGAAAAGGTGGACCCAGTCCACACTGTGGGCTGCTCCTGCCTCAACAAAATTATATTTTCCTGGACACTCCTCTCCATCCCATTGTGTGGTTGCTATCAAGGCCAGTATAAGTGGTATCCCACCAGTTGCAGATGTCTAGATCGTCTATTGTCATCCAAGCCCAACTTAGATTGTGCTGGTGCAGTCATCAGAAAAATGGAGCTTTCCCTGCAGTGAGGCAAGAATTGATGGGTGGATTTTTTTGGGGGGGTCTGGAATTTAAGGATAGAATATTGAGTACACCCACATGATGAATTAAGGCAATGGCTTTGGGGTGTGTGTTTCTAATGAGAACAGTAAGTCTCTAATTGAAGTAATCTGGTCCAACCCCCTGCAATGCAGAATTCTCAACTAAAGCATCCAAAACAGATGGACATCCAACACCTGCTTAAAAACCTCCAGTGAAGGGAGACTGAAAAGGAGTTGGTTCCACTGTCAAGCAACTCTTACCATCAGAGAGTTGTTCCTGGTGTTTAGTTGGAATCTCCTTTCTTGTAATTTGAAGCCATTGGTTTGGGTCTTGCCCTCCAGAGCAGCAGAAGACAAGCTTGCTCCCAGTGTGGTGTAGTGGTTAAGAGTAGTGGACTCGTAATCTGGTGAACAGGGTTCGATTCCCTGCTCCTCCACTTGCAGCTGCTGGGTGACCTTGGGCTAGTCATACTTCTTTGAAGTCTCTCAGCCTCACTCACCTCACAGAGTGTTTGTTGTGGGGGAGGAAGGGGAAGGAGATTGTTAGCCACTTTGAGATTCCTTAGGATAATGATAAAGCTGGATATCAAATCCAAAGTCTTCTCCTTCTCCTTCTCCTTCTCCTTCTCCTTCTCCTTCTCCCCCTCCTCTCCTCCTCCTCCTCCTCCTCTTCCATGTGCCTGCCCCTTAGATATTTGAATATGACTTTCAATTAATATTTTTTTTAATTAATATTTATTAAGTTTTCAGAAAGAATGAAATCACATTAATAAACATCTCTCAATCTCCTTTTATTCATGCTAAGAATTCCTAACTCTCCCAACGGTTCCTTATCAGGCTTGGTTTCCAGACTCTTGATCATCTTGGTTGTCCTCCTCTGAACAGGTTCCAGCTTGTCAATATCCTTCTTAAATTATGATGCCCAGACCTGGACAAAACACTCCAGGGGTTTGTTTGACCAAGGCAGAATAGATTGTAACTATTATTTCCCTTGATCTGGACACTATTAACAGTGGAATTGCGTGGTGAGTTCCCACCCACCCCCGGTGGAAATAATGACACATGACACAATTATTGGTGGGCGGCAAAGAGGGAGATACCCGGCCAGGTCCTGCCTTTAATAGGACAGGCCATGCCCCCCAAGCCAGCCGATCGGCTGGCCAGGGGATGATGCGACCGGGAATCCCCCCAATTGTGCGTGGCTGGCTCCACCCACCACGCATGTGGAGGGGCTGTGAAGCCCGCAACCCCACCTCCTCCTTAGGCAGAAGTGGCCTTGTCATCTGAAGTGCCCAGTTAACAAATGGCAATTATTACAATAACTTAAATTGGGTCTAAAATGCCCTCTCCCCCTTTCTTGCCCATCCCACCCTGCAAAAGCACAGTCAAGTTGAAAGAAAACAACTGCAGCAGCAAGACTGAGCTGAAATGAGAACATTTAAGCATCTTGCATTTTGGTGGGTCTCTAAAGGACCTTGAAAGCTACAGCACGAGCAGGGGTAGTGAGACAAGGAGGATGAGTAGACTGCTAAGCTGAGATCCCACAGTGCAAAGAGCCCAGGAAAGTTATATGATGTTGGAGTTCTCTGAAACATCAAGGGCTTGCTTTAATTACATGGTAATGTTCAGGGAGTATTTTGAGCCGGAAAAGGCATAAAAGCTGAACGTTGGCAGGGGCAGCCTTTTTCGCATTCATGAGAATTCATGGTGGAGACCCTTTAGACCTCATTTTTGGATTATTATTATCATTATTGGGCCTGGGAATACCATGAGATTTAAATTAATTGAATTAATTTATTATACTTTCTCTGGAAAGGGAGAAGAGAATGCTAGGAGGGCCCTAATCAAAGATAAGCTTTTAGAAAAAGAAAAAAGAAAGAGAGCTTGAACATGCCAGAGTGTTTTGTTTCATTTCTTTTTTTCCAGTAGTTATGCAGCTCCCAGGTCCTGGTGCCTCAGAGCAGGCTTGTTGGATCATGTTAGCGAAAAGGTTATTTAAAAAAAAAATAATTAAAAAAATAATCACCTTGTTCTCATAGGAATCCCCAAAATGTGATAAACAGGCCTTCCCAATTGTGCCTTTATTATAGAGCAAAACAATCCTGCCTACATGTGCGGGGGTCTTTCTAGCCTGGTATTAGCTCTAGAGCAGAGATGAAGAACCTCAAGTTCAAGCATCCCTCCAAATAGAAAACCACCTAAGGCAGCTGCCAAACTCTGAGTCCCAGATTGCCACCCCAGGTAAGTAAGGCACATGTCAGAGATTTAACTCTTTATTGACAACAGAAGCATTTACAGCAGCTCCCACGGTATGCCAGATATCTACACACAGACAGTCTTCTAGCCTCTAGCAGTGGCGTCACAACAGGGTGTGTGGGGGTGCTCCCCGAGTGCCATGTCTGGGAGAGTGACAAGAAGGCACCCCATAGGGGATTGCCCCACCGCCGCAGCGCAAGCAGCCATCGCGCTGCTGCAGCCGCATGTGGAGGATCCTCCGTTTGTAGCTGCAGTCGCGAGCAGAGGATCCCGGCGCTGGCAGCAAACCGCTATGTACAGGACATGTGCAGTGTCACATGCATGCGCTGTATGTGACAACGCCACACATGCACTGTACATAGCGGTTTGCCGGCAGCACCGCTCGAGTGCCATATGGACGGCAGTGGGTTCCCTCCGTCACCGCTACAGTCGCATGTAGAGGATCCTCCGTTCGCAGCTGCAGCCATGAGCAGAGGATCCTGGCTCCGTCTGTACTGCATTGGAGTGGCGCCACCGGCAAACCACTATGTACAGCTCATGTGTGGTGTTGCTATGTACGGTGCATGCATCGTATGTAGCAATGCCACACATGCGCCCTACGTAGCAATGCCCTGCCCCGGGTGTCACGATGCCTTCATTCGCCCCTGGCCTCTAGGCAGCTGTTCACAGGTCTGGACCCTTCAGTGGGGGCCCTCCTCTCCTCCGGCTTATATATCCTCCTCTGACAGGTTGCATGCCCACAATATGAGACTGGAAGTCAGCACTGCTCTTCTCTCTTCACACCCCTCCTGGTTCTAGGAGACAGCAGAACAGGGGAAGATGGGCCCTTCCCTTACCCAGATCGTTTATTCTTCCTCTGTCACATCCTGTGTACCTTCCTCCATCTTGGATTGCCCTGATTCTTCTTCCTCTCCCTGGCCTGGCTCCTGCTTTATGGGGTGCCACCAAGTCCCACAAATGGCTGCCCCCCTCTCCTGGGTCGCACTCCTGGTCCCCTCCTGCCACCACACACTCTTCAGAGCTCTGCCAGTCCCTGACACTCGGGGGAGGGGGAATCCAAGCAGTTGTAATCTGTCAAAATCTGAAGGGTCCCAGTATAGATCGGGGTGGGGGGAGTCATGGCTCAGTTGTAGAACATCTGATTTGCATGCAGAAGGTCACAGTTTCAATCACTAATGTTTCCAGGTGGGGCTGGGAATGCCTACTGCCTAAAATCCTGGGTAGCTGCTGCCAGCAGTGAAAACAATACAGAACTAGATGGACCAATCCTCTGATTCAGTGGAAGGCAGATTTCTATGTAGTCCAGTTGCAACAAGCCATCTAACCAGCAGGAAATACTGTTAGCAATTAAAGAGAATGCAATGGAGTCAGAAGTATTATTATGCATGAATGTGTTGAATAAATAAGACAGTGAACCATTAATTTCAATTAAATCACCAGCCAGCAGATGAAGATCTGAGTTTAACGTGGCACATTCAACCAGCAGGAAACCACCTCCAGCAACTCTTGTCTTAGTAGCAGTGTGGAAGCCAGAGACTATGGAGTTCAGCTTGGACATCAAACTATGGGTGCCACTATGGGTGCCATTAGGACAGACCAAGATCACTTCTGCCCACACTACTGGAAGCTAATTGTCTGCACATGCACTGAGATGGTAGAAGACAAGTATGCCAGTAGCCAATTGGGCAGTGATGTCTTATGCTAGCCAATACACATATTATCATAGACAGATGAGAGTGAGGGTGATGGAAAAATATAAGGTATTCAGCCAACACTGCTTTACAACTGTTCGAGAGGTAGGGAGGACAAATAGTCCATTCCTCAGCCAGGGCTGTAAGTGGAGACAGGTTGGGGCAAGTGATGAATTGGTGGTAGGAGGGTTTCCATTATGAATTATAAGTGGGCATTTGACAATACCAAATTATGCAGAGAACATTCCCTTGTAACTGAAAGCTCTCTTTCAGAAATCTAGAGGCCCGCAGCAGTTGTGTAGAAGCTCATTGGATAAATGTGCTGGTCTTGGACCTACATATGTGATATTAGAATGATCCTTCAAAAGAACCATTATATCTACATATTGGAGAGCGAGGAATGGATATCCCCCCCCCCCCAAAGCAACACATTCTTACTTCTGGGGCCTATATACCTATAGGTCCAAATGCAAGGAGGTAATGTAGGCTTGTGAGATTGATGTTAGCAAGCATTAACTTAGACCAGTTCAAAATGAAACCCTGTAAACTGATTTGCCACCTGGTTGAGTCAACTTATATTTCACCATAAAAGGGTGATAAATAGTGCCTTCCACTGCCTGGGACATATTATGCAGTAATAATAGGACCTACACACATGTCACACCAAAATTCTTGCCATCAGTGCACAGAGAAGGATGCTAGAAGTAGATGCTAGGATATGGGTGTATGCATTAGGTGTGCAAATCCTTCTTTACAGTGCAATAGAATGCATGCTTAAATGCAAGTAAGTCACCATGTGACCAGAGTAGCTTGCTCCCTAGTACATGTGCTCAGGATTTTTGTGTTCCATTCCCAATGTTTCCAGTTCAAGAGGTTGAAGCATGTGCTTAACATTCCCACTGAAATCAATGGGGTTGCCTGAGTCATGTTGCTAGAGCATAGTATTTCATGATATGGGGGTCAAATTCTTCAATAACCCAACCCTGTATTTCTCAAACAACAACCATTTCCTATTGTCTTTCATCTTCCCGACAAAAGATGCCATTTTAAAGTCACTGGACGGTTGTGCTTGTTAAGGCCAGGATGAGAGAGCCGAGGCAACGTTGCTAATTAGTAGCGAGTCCTCCATTTATGGCTCCCTAAAAAGAGCTGAGTGACCTTTGAGTTAACAATGTTGAAGAATTCACATTTAATTGGCTGCCGTCTTGTTTCTCATTGCGGTTTCTACAAATTGGCAATTCCCACTTTAGATGTCCTATCGCCAGTCTGGCTAATGAGGGTGAGCATTTATGGAGCCAAAGGTCTCGTTCTATAAGCTTTTGTTATTTGGTGGTTTTGATTAATTCAAAGTGGGTTTTTGCATGCTTACAAATGCCCCCCAAGCACAGCACCCACCGAAATGTCTCTCTAACAGGCCCTGGGAAGAGTAAGGATTTGCAGGGTGGGGGGTGAAAGTTGCATGGAGAGATGTGGGGCATCTCCAGTGGCAGAGGCACTTGCTGGTCACATTCGGGGCCAAGAGGTCCATCAAATGTCAGGTGAAAAGTGCAGACAGACAAGGAAGTAGGATAGGAATATGACATTGAAAAATGAGACGGTAGGTAGGGAGAGCCACAGAAGCAAGGTTAAAGTCTGGCTGTTGCTCACAATGGACTTAGAAGTGGCTACACCAAGGTAAGGCCAGAAAACCAGCCACCAATGGGTGTGGGTATCACGACATAGGAAGCTAACTTACTCTGAATCAAATCATTGGCGGTGCCTAACTCTTTATTGTCTACTTCCGGGTAGCCAGCAAAGTGCCCTCCAGGTGTGGTTGGACCAGGGCCGTCTTAAGCATATCCGGCACCGTGGTGCAAAGCTCCCTCCGGCAGCCTCCCCGTTTCCCAGAGTTTTTTTTAGGGAGGACGGTGCTGCCAGTGGGGCTGGAGGAGGCAGGCAGCAGCTGGAGGGTGACTCCTCCAGTGAGGAAGAGGCAGAAGCTGGATGCGGCACCTCCCAGCTCAGCTGGCTGCTTTATGCAGTGGTGGCCGTGGCAGATGGAGGCTCCGGGCACAGCACTGCTTTGGCGCAGCACGGCAGAGGCGTGCAAGGGCAGTGAGCTGATGCCAGGAGGCGCCGCGTCCAGCCTCCGCCTCTTCCCTGGCACTCTCCAGAACTTGGCGCCCTGGCGCCCCACACCACTAGCCTCTATGGGTAAGACGCCCCTGGGTTGAACAACAACTCCCAAAACCTAATCATTGGCCCTGCTGGCTGGAGATGATGGGAGTTATAGTACAAAAGTATCTGGAGAGCACTGCATTGGATACCCCCAATCTACACACACTCCAAGCATCTCTCCAGAGTTTCATACAGGAGTCTTTACCCAGCCTTTCCTGGAGAAGCCAGGGATCAAGACAGACAAAACAAATAAGTTATTGGCAGAACACATAGCTAAACTATGGGACTCACTCCCCCAAGAGCCAGGGGTTGCCTGCCAACTTGGATGGCTTTAAAGGAGGTTTAGACAAATTCATGGAGGAGAACGCTATTGATGGCTACCAACTAGGGTGTTTATGTTCTACCTCCGGTCCTGGAGGCAGTATGCCTGTTGCTGGAAACCACAGGAAGGAGAGTCTGCAGTTGTGCTCAGATCCTCTTTGCATGCTTCCCACAGACATCTGTTTGACCAGGATGCCTGACTGTATGGGCTATTGGCCAGATCCAGCAATCACTTCTTATGTTTTTCTGAGCAGAAATGGTCAGGGTTATACTCTAATTCTTTTACTTGCATTTTTTAAAAATATATAGAGAGAATAATACATTTTAAAAAAATAAAATGAACAGATTTTAAAATGTTCTCCAAAGTTCAGTCAAAACAAGTATTTTCAAATCAAAACATTTTTTCATGATGTTATTTCATGGGTGTAATGTTACTAGGGACAATTTTATTAGCCTGCTTACTTCTGATTTTGGAGGAAATATTGAAAACATAAACTAGATTTGATGACATAACTTTCCTGCACATATAGTTAGTCATTCTGTTTTCCAGAAAGGTCATTGGTAAACTGGCATCTGACGGGGGAGGGTGGGGGAGGAATGAAGAGGCAAATATATCCGTAAGCCCACCCTTGAGACTTCTTCCTATTTTCAAATAAATAAACATTTGTTTACTCCGAGTAAATTGGAAAAGAATTATAGCTTTGTAGCCAGATTGTCTCCATGTTTACTTGGAAGTAAGTCCCTATGAGTTCAATGGGATAATTCCCAGGTAAATCTGCAAAGGACTGCATCATTAGTAATGCAAGATCCTTCATTAAATCAGCCCAGCTTCTCTGGGACAGAACCTTTGTGGATGGCAAGGATACCATAAATACATTTCCTTATTTTAATTCACTTAAGACTTCCTATCAATATTTTACATGCATCATAAATATTTGAGGCTGTAAGCTTTTCTTTAGCATTTACTGACCAAACTAAAATGATACATAATTTAGGAGCGAGAATATAAATTGGCATATACAGATGTTTATTAAAATAATATGGTTTGAGTTTGCAGGCAACTTGCTGTGCATTTTCTTCAAAGATGTTCTCTTACTCCAGTGGATGCAATCACTGAAATCCAGCAGGGTTAAAGGATCGCAATAAAATGAAAACAGTATTTGTGAATTTGTGGGTTTTTAATTTTTAATTTTATTTTAATAATAGCAGCTATGGTGGAAAAACAACAATGCAGATGAGAAATGAGTGTTGAAAATGACACCAGAGACTAGCTTTCCCATTGTTGTTGTTAATGTTTCAGTAATAATAATAACAACAACATACCACCCCCCCCAAGTGTCCCTATTTTCCAGGGACAGTCCCAGAGTTACAGATGCTGTCCCGGTTACAGATTTGATCCTGGGATGTCCTGGTTTTCCTTTCTCCTCCCCTCCATGTTTCAGAGAACAATTAAAAGTGGTGTGTGTGCAAAAAGCGGAGTCCTGTTTTTCCTGAAAGTAAAATACCTGCACCAAATGAAGGAAATTGCGACGTTGTCATACAAAGCCCTTCCTATAATTTTGAAGGAAAAGGTCACCAATCCACTTTAAATTATTGAATTGCAGTGCTTCAGCAGCCAGCCATTTCTTAGGAAATGCAGGGAGCATGGATTCATTTATTGTCTACTCAGAAGTAAGTCCCACAGTACTCAATGGAGCTTACTCCCAGGTAACTGGGTAAAGACTGCAGCCTTATGCTGCAATCCTAAGCATTTTTACTCAGAACTAAGTCCCACTGAGTTCAATAGGATTTACTCTCTGATATGTTCCTGAGCATTTTCATAGTTGTGTTGTTGTTGTTATTATTGTTGTTATTATTGTTGTTGTTGTCGTCGTCATCATCCACCTTTTTCCCTGACAGAGACTCAACACAGCTTACAGCTAAAATTTTATTTAATTCCATTTATCTTTGGAAGGTGTTGTGCACGATCCCTTCCTTTGCACATTTATTCTTTACAACAATCCCATGAGATGGGT